GCTTTTTCCTTTCCCCTCCTGAGGTCTGTAAGCCTGCCCGGCGCTGAGCCTGTCTACCCATATCCCTGCGACATGATTGGCTGTACGTAGTCTTTTTCTTCTTCTCTTTAATGTCGGGTGGCAACTAGCGTCCAAGGCGCATTAGCGCCCCTGTTTCCCTGTGGTTGGATGGTGTAAATACAAGTTTACATCTATCGACCTTTTATCGAACATTTTTTATATTTATATTGACAAATTATGTCGCGATAATTATCGTTATCGTTTCATCGCCCAGACCTAACTGAGAGTTAATCAAACTTACAGTTCATATTCAGCACTGAATGATGTTTGACACTGAAATGTAATAATCCACTTCTAATCTAGTTCAAATGTAGTTACCATGGCAGTCAGGATGAATGGAGATCCAAATCAACAAACACATTCAGTGAATAAAGTTTGACTAATCAAAGTGCAGCACAAAGAAGCTGTGAACCATCTGCTGTCTCCAACTGTTCTGTCCTCAGAGGTCACATTCAGCACATTCTGGATTATCACTTTTATTTCAGTTTATATTTTTTATTGTTTACTATTTCAACTCTCATGAGTTTCCATCACCCTCACTTTTATCATCACTTTGTGTTACTTCCAGCCCTCATCCAACATGTGCTGCTGTGTTCTGATGAAGAGAAATGAAAACACACTCACACTTCCTCAGACCAGGATCCAGTGTGTGCAGTCCACCATGGTCCAACCTGGAGGAAGAAACCAGATCAGAATCTACTTCATACATCTAGATTTAAATCCACCATTAGTTCATCATTCAGAAACAGTGACACAGCTTCTGTGTGTCTGTCTGTGTCAGAGGTTGCGCTAGACTTTCTTGTCATACATTTTCCGTCATAATCTATAACGATCTGTCATTTTCATTTTGTATATTTTTATGATAATGAGACATTGCCTATTTATTTATTTTAGCATATGATTATAGAAACAAGTCGATCACATGTTACGTTTAATTTGCAGAACAATCTTACAGATAATAATTTTATAAGAGTATGAGGAGAAAAATCAACACCGACCCTGTGAAGTCACTTTTATCGTCAATAAAGCTACGGAGCAACATTTGTTTTCCGGTCACAGTTACACATTGTGGAATACCGTTTTTTAAATTACGTTAATTAATACATTCAAACAAAACTTTAACATAAGACATTTTGTCTAAATTTAAAAAGCATATTGCAGGTTACATTTTTAATAAATGAACACTTAACATTGTCTGATAAAGGCTCTAGAATACGTCAATGTTTGATTTGATGTGTTATACAACACTAAAGGGCAAAAATTAGAGGAGAAAGTGTCCGTTTTCAGTATAGCTGTTTAGAACGCTCTTTTTTTCAACATGGCGTCATATGACGTAGCATGGGGGACTCGCGTTCTCTGACTCTGCTTTGATCCAATGTGCAGCAGGTGTTAGTGGGTGAGAGCGGGAGTTTCGGGTCGTGTTTATTGTGTTTCTTCCATTGTTTAACATTTAATTTGACCAGTCAGATGGTTAAATATTGTTTAAATAATGTTAACCTAATAGGAAGAAACATGGAGTTAGCTTTCGTGCCTGGATTGGTTTTGTGCAGTTTCAACAGTTTGTGACCATCATGCAGATAGCTTAACCATGCTATGAAAACAACCATAGACAACGAAGTCATGCAAGTGAGGTCAGCCTACAGGACAAGACAATAACTAATTAATTATGCACACTCGTCACCAACTGGACTGGGAGGTCTACTGCAGGTGCTTTACATGTGGTTAATGACAGAGTTGTGTGGGAATTAGAAAGGAGTGGTGGACACCCAGTGATTCTAATCAGTCAAAACCTTCAGATTATTTTTCGTCATTGTTCAAAAAATTCTGTCAAAGACGGAGAATATTCGGTTAACGCGACCTCTAGTCTGTCTGTACCTCAGTGTCTCCAGTCTGCAGTGTGGATCCTCCAGTCCAGCAGACAGCAGCTTCTCTCCTCGTTCTCCTGGATGATTGTAGCTCAGGTCCAGCTCTCTCAGGTGGGAGGAGCTTAGAGCTGAGGCCAGAGACACACAACCTTCTTCTGTGATCAGACAACCTGACAGACTACACACACACACACACACACACACACACACACACACACACACACACACACACACACACACACACACACACACACACACACACAGGATCATAAAAAGGACTAAACAGATCTTCATATTTAACTTTCTTTATTCCAGTCCAGCTTCCTCAGACTAAAAGACTGGGAGCTATAGAACGAGCTCAGAGCTTTACAGTTTTAATGTGGTAACATACAGTAACTAAAACTTTAAACCACTCATTAAAGGAACATTTGATAAATGATGCATCAAGAAAATGATCTTAAAGGAATAATCTGGATCAGCTGCACACTAACCTGAGAGTGTCCAGTCTACAGAGAGGACTCTTTAATCCAGAGGACAGCAGCTTCACTCCTGAATCCTGCAGGTTGTTGTTGCTCAGGTCCAGCTCTCTCAGACTAGAGGACTGGGAGCTGAGGACTGAGGACAGAGCTTCACAGCTTCTCTCTGAGAGGTTACAGCCACTCAGCCTGAAGAGGATTCAGAAGAACACAAATGAAAGCAATTAAAAACAATAGTTATTATTTCTGAATAAAGAGAACTACATTAAACCTGGATAGTTATGTGGACACATACAGAGCTTTGTTTGAAGCTTTGATCACAGGCAGCAGCCTCAGAAGAGCCTCCTCTGAAGCAGAGTATTTCTTCAGGTCAAACACGTCCAGATCTTTTTCTGATGACAGTAAGATGAAGACCAGAGCTGACCACTGAGCAGGAGACAGTTTATCTGTGGAGAGACGTCCTGATCTCAGGGACTGTTGGATCTCCTCCACTAGAGAACGATCATTCAGTTCATTCAGACAGTGGAACAGATTGATGCTTTTCTCTGCAGACAGATCCTCACTGATCTTCATCTTGATGTACTCGACAGTTTTCTGATTGGTCTGTGAGCCACTTCCTGTGGGTGTCAACAAACCTTGTATGTGATTCTGATTGGTCTCTAGAGAAAGACCGAGGAGGAAGCGGAGGAACAAGTCCAGGTGTCCATTTGGATTCTGTAAGGCCTGGTCCACAGCACTCTGATATAAAAGTCTTGGGTCAGGTTGTTCTCTTGATACTTCAGACCTGGATGTTGTTTGTTCTTCTGACATCAGATTGGCTCCAGAGTTGATGAAGGTCAGATGGACATGAAGAGCAGCCAGAAACTCCTGAACACTCAGATGGATGAAGCAGAACACCTTGTCCTGGTACAGTCCTCTCTCCTCTTTAAAGATCTGTGTGAACACTCCTGAGTACACTGAGGCTGCTCTGATATCGATGCCACACTCTGTCAGGTCTGAGTCATAGAAGATCAGGTTTCCTTTCTGCAGCTGCTCAAAAGCCAGTTTTCCCAGAGACTCAATCATCTTCCTGCTCTCTGGACTCCAGTGTGGATCTGTCTCAGCTCCTCCATCATACTTGATGTTCTTCAGTTTGGACTGAACCACCAGGAAGTGGATGTACATCTCAGTCAGGGTCTTGGGCAGCTCTCCTCCCTCTCTGGTCTTCAGCACATCCTCCAGAACTGTAGCAGTGATCCAGCAGAAGACTGGGATGTGGCACATGATGTGGAGGCTTCTGGATGTCTTGATGTGGGAGATGATTCTGTTGGCCTGCTCCTATCTCTGAACCTCTTCCTGAAGTACTCCTTCCTTCTGTGGGTCAGTGAACCCTCTGACCTCTGTCACCATGTCAACACACTCAGGAGGGATCTGATTGGCTGCTGCAGGTCGTGTGGTTATCCAGAGGAGCAGAGGGAAGCAGTTTCCCCCTGATGAGGTTTGTCAGCAGCACATCCACTGACTGGACTCTGTGACATCAGTCAGGGTCTGGTTGTTTTTAAAGTCCAGAGGAAGTCGACACTCATCCAGACCGTCAAAGATGAACACAACCTGGAACTCTTCAAACCTGCAGATTCCTGCTTCTTTGGTTTCAGGAAAGAAGTGATGAACAAGTTCCACCAAGCTGAACTTTTTCTCTTTCAGCACATTCAGCTCTCTGAAAGTGAATGGAAATGTGAACTGTATGTCCTGGTTGGCTTTGTCTTCAGCCCAGTCCAGAGTGAACTTCTGTGTTAAGACTGTTTTCCCGATGCCAGCCACTCCCTTTGTCATCACTGTTCTGATTGGTTCATCTCTTCCAGGTGAGGCTTTAAAGATGTCTTCTTGTCTGATGGTTGTTTCTGGTCTGTGTGGTTTCCTGGATGCTGTTTCAATCTGTCTGACCTCGTGTTCATCATTGACCTCTCCAGTCCCTCCCTCTGTGATGTAGAGCTCTGTGTAGATCTGGTTCAGAAGGGTTGGGTTTCCTGCTTTAGCAATCCCCTCAAACACACACTGGAACTTCTCCTTCAGGTTAGATTTCAGTTTACATTGCACTGCACCAAATGTCCTGAATAAAGAAAGAACTGAAATCAATGAACAGATCCTGATATAGATCACATGACTATCTGAGTTTAGAACTTTAAAACTTTTTGTCCTTTTTCTAAAATACTAAATCTGTTAAAATGTTGTTACTGCTCTGCAGACGGTCAGCCAGCTCCTCCTGCTTCATTCTCCTCAGGAAGTGGAGAGTGATCTTCAAAAAATCCTCTTACAGCTTCTCCCCTGCTCTTCATCCTCACTCTGACTCTCTAAGCATTCTGGGTAATCTGGACTCAGAACTCTCTGGACTCTCTTCAGCTCGTTCTTCACAAAGGTGACGATGTTCTCCTCCAGCAGCTGGAACAGAAGGAGACACTGGATATTTAATATAAACTGGTAGAACTCAACATGTGGTTCATCTGTCAGTCTGAAGGTCAGCTGGTCTAAACAGAACAATAACTTAGCATTAAATTATTGTAATGGTAGTAAATTATATAACAGTGTGTTGAACAGACCATAAAGATGGAGTCCAGGTCTGTTGGATTCTGCTGGTCTGATTGATCTCTGTGAACCTCTGAGCTCTCCTGTTGAACTCTGTGACACAAGAAAACAATGTGTCATATATTATGAAGCTCTGAACCAAGATACACATTATACACCAATCACTCTTCATGGACACACAGCTGGGTCCAGGAGAGTCTGGTCTCTGTCTCTTCATCCTGATACAAACAAACAGCTGGTATTATTATTATTGTTATTAAAAGATGTGCCAGATTTTGAACACAAAACTTAACTAAACAGGTAATCCAGGCTTTAATATTGTCCAATCTTGACTATTGCCCAGCAGTATGGTCTAATTGTTCAAAACAGAGCAGCTAGTGTAGCGCTCCGTTGTGAATACAGAATGAATGTTGTTACGATGCATAATTGTCTAGCTTGGTCATTTGTTGAGAACAGATTCGTTTATTCATTACTTGTATTCTTCAGAAATATTTCAGTGATAAAGAACCTCGCTCCTCTGTACCTCTCTGAACTCCTGCACATCAACACACCCACCCGCACTCTCAGGTCTTCTTCTTCTATTCACCTCACTGCACCACCCGCCTGTCCACCAGGGGGTCCAGAGCCTTCAGCTGCTCTGCCCCTCCCCCGCCTCTGGAACTCCCTCCCACCACACATCCGTAGTATTGACACTCTCTCCATTTTTAAATCTCATCTCTAAACACATCTTTTTAAACTGACATATTCAGTCTGATCATTCCCCTTCCAGTCTCATAAATCCTCTACATCCTGTAAATACTTTTTAATGTTGATTTTATTTCTACTTTGTAAAACTTTAAATAAAATGTATTAAGATGTAGAATCATCTTTCAGTGAATCGACTTTTAAAATAGACAAATAAATCTAGCTAATTATTTTGGCAGGTTTATTTTTCTTGAATCAAGACAATTTGACTTTATCTAAGAATATTTAACTTCTTTGCAGTAGGGTTTTTTTGCGAGAGGTGAACATGGACTGAAGACAGGAAGTGAGAGTGATGTAAATGTCTGAGGATGAAAGAGTTGTAGAAAAGCAGAACAGAGCTCTTTGTCTGTGCTGCCTCTGACAAAGAGCTGCTAAACTGCCTTTCACTGTTTTTATAGCAATGACATTAAAGATCTATTCTTTTATTTTCTGTTGTAATGATCCGAGGGATAATTAGAAAAAATATGACCTCTGCTCATCAAGCTCCATCTTTGAAATCAGCTGCTACTCTGTAAACTGGATTTCTATTTAAAGAAACACAAACTCAGTGATATGGTTTATCATGATGAGTCTGATCACTCAACTCTTTGACTGGTGAACACTGTGATGTCACTGCTGAAACAATAAACTGATGAGTCCTACAACACATCATGAAGCTCTGAGACAAGATATGAGTCTTTAAACAACAGAGTCAGAACATTAACTTCACTTTCAGATCTCACCTTCCATCAGCAGGACGTCCATCTTTAAAGTCAATAGGGAAATCTTTAGAGTCATCACGCTTCATGGACACACAGCTGGGTCCAGGAGAGTCTGGTCTCTGTCTCTTCATCCTGATACAAACAAACATTATTAGTTACTGTGAGCAGCAGATGAGACAGTGATGATGATGGAGTGAAGTGAGATCCTCATCTCACCTCAGAGCTTCATGTTCCTCACACAGAGAGGTTTTAGAGGGGACCCCCTCCTCTGTGTCCTCACACTGATCCATAGCAGAGCGCCCCCTGCTGGAAGAGCTGCACTCTGTCACAACAACAACACTGATGGAGTTCAGCTGCTGAAGTCACATCCACTCAAAGATCTTTCAGCTGTGGAGGAAACAAACAGATGAAGCTGCTGATTCACCTTCATCATCATCACCTCACTGTCAGTCTACAAACATCACATCTACCTGGTTCACCTGCTAACATGATCTAATCTTCTGTTCTCTCTTATAGGAGATGGTATATTACTGTCAGATGTTCTGTACTTGTTGACTGCTTATCCAGCTGAAGTACTAAACTAGTTCTAGGTTCTGTGTGTATTCACTGCACAGTCTGTAACTAGACATGAATCACTCTTTTAATTTCTGTAATCATCTCATTCTCCTTATTTGATGAATTCTAATGTTTAATTAAACTTTTTTCTCTCCTTGTTTTGCTGAACGTTTGAATTTATGCTCCA